AATCTTTGCCATGATTCGTTCAATTCCTCTTTTCTACGTAAAATGGTATCGCGTTCTGGATGACCGTCTAAAAGAAGTTTGTCTGCAATTTCGTTAACTTCTGTTACTCTATATTCTTGACTTGCCATGTCTTTTTGGAATTCATCGAATTTCCTTTGTAATACTTCAACATGTTCTAAATCATGTCCAAACTCATCGGTGGTTACAAACGCTTCCTTATCATGGATCCAAAACATAACTTCATCGCAGTGTCTGATAAATTGGACAAGTACTAAAGCTTGTTGCAATTTCAATCCCTTGTCGGCTAATCGTGATAATAATAACTCCCATAAGCTGTGAAGTTCCTCTGTAAAAATTCAAAGTATATAACAAATAGGTATTTCAAAGTATATCGTTAATCATGATTTATAGTAGAGAAGTCAGCTATCTATATTTACCTAATCTTTTACGAATAACATCGCTAGCAAAGTGATGTTGCGCTATCATCTCAGAACCAGTATTATCAAGTAACACGATAGCATTGGAATGAGCAGCGACTTCTGCTTCGAATGCTTGATGCTTTTGAATCTTGGCTTGCAAATTAGTTGGATCTTTATAACTTTCATCTGATGCTGCTTGTAACTTTTCATATATCCATCCCTCAAGTTCATCCGCATCTCGCTTAAAATACTAAAAGCAAACCAAATAATTCGGTCATTAAAAAAATACAAAAATAAGGACATCAATTGTATATCATATCTTAGGTAAGAAAAATAAATCTTGTAAATAATTAAAAATATCATATTACTTGAAAGCGACGGGAGTCCTCGAGTTTGTCTCGTTTGCTACGAGCCTCCGCCTTGAAATTAGCATAACGTCCAAGAACTTGTTCACGTCTTTCTTGAATATCTTCCGGATTTTCCAGAATTTTCACTTCCTTCGGTGTTATCTGATCCATCTTTGTAAAATTCTTTAAACGTCGTCAAACGTCTTTAAAAATGGATATCCACTTGCGGCCAAGATGGCCGTAGGGTGTGGCTGTTAACTCGTTCTTTCTCTTCAAAAATCGACAATTCCCTTATCTGAAAAGTAATTATTGTTAACAATATAGATTCACATAACTTCTATACTTTCTTTTATTTAATTTATTTCTACGAATGATGAATAATATCGAATAAGAATACGCACTTTCTTCGTACGCTCCAATAACTCGGTTAGATCCGTTACTGATGCGCTCTTTCTGCACAGTGACGTTTCGAGGAAACACGTAACGGTGCGGCTGATACGTGATTGGTCGATTTATTTCCTACTTTACCAATCTAACCTTACCTTAGTTCAATAGGTCAAATACACATTGCTTGAATCTCTCTTTACATATATATATATATATATATATTAGAATGTATATGACATATATATAGAAGATGCATACACGTACATACACAACATGCAATCATGATTATGACGTTACGTTTATCTTTGAAACTTACGTCATGTACCTAAACATATATATATGGTGTTTCCGAAATAAGATGATAATATTTACTTTAATCGCGTTTTTTAATTGGATTATAATGTCTTGCTCACTTAAAATATTGATGTGATATTTATATATAATTTATGATAGTAAGTTTCCTTTAAGTTATTTAGAAACATTATATATGCAAATATTTAATGTTCTTCAAAAATGTAAGTATATTTATAGATAAGATAGTATATATATATTTTTTTAAATATTAAAGCGTTGGACGAATCAAAGCGAAGAAGCGATAAATGTTGAATTTCGCGCGGAAATATTCAAATTTGCAGGTGATAATATAAGGAATTTTTATGATAGTTGTTTATTTATACTTTAAACCCTTAACTTACACATAATAGAGAGAGAAATAGATAATTAAAAATTAGGCACGAGTCACTGTTACGTTATGGTACAATAATCTTTTATTAAATTTCACCTACAAACAACGAATCACAGAACGTTACATTAGAGTTCCTTACATCAATCCATCGTGTCTTCATAATATTTTACAGGTAAATAATTATATATTTATCCCTATTACAGTAAAATCTTATTCGTTAAAATATCTTGTAGCGTAGTCAATCATTATGTGTGTATATATATAAATTTAATTCACCTAAAAATATGATTTTTTGTTGTAGTGTTTTCATTCATCGTTTATAAGTGTCTGCTATCATGTATACAAGTGGTACGTTAGGTATAGGTACTTGCTTTTGTCCATTGTACTCTGATATTTTTTTTATTCTTCCCCTTCATCTTCTATTTTTTATTAATTTTTGTATGAATACGCATATTATATATATTCAATGGTTCCGTATTGTATAGAAAAATGATTATTTCAAAAATCTTCATACGTCAAAAGACCTTTTATTCGTCGACAAAAATTTATTTCATTAAACGAGGATAGTACTAACGTTTCTTTAATTTATTTATCTTCTTCATCTTTAAGTACCTGGACAAAGTAATGGTATTACAATATAAATCGCTAAAAGTTTTATGTTTTATTCTTTTTTTTTCTTTTCATATTTTCTCTACCTACCTCTTCCCTTTCTTTCTTTCTTTCTTTCTTTCTTTCTTTCTTTCTTTCATTCTTTTTTCATTTTTTTTTTTTTGTTAAAAGGCAACATGTCTTTGTTAATACAAAAAGGCAATTTGCTTTGTATCATCGGTATATACGGCGTCCCCCAACGAACATTTATGTGATTTTTTTTTTTAAATGATACTGAAATATATTTTGTTTCAAAGTGGCAAATGTAAGGGACCATTTTACAGGCATTATTGGCAGCACTGGATCACTTTATGTATATATATGTATGTGTATGTATACGCGTGTGTGTATATATGTGTTTTTGTTTCACTGTATTCCACATATCTTCTTGAAAATATTCCATTCCAACGTTAATCGTTAACGACTTATGTAGAACTTCAGAGAGCATTTTTGTCTTAACATTTTGCACAACATACTCTCTGATTTGTTACAGTTATTTATTTATTTATTTATTTATTTATTTATTTATATATATAATTTTTTTTTCACTTCCCATTGTCTTGCGCAGTCACGAAGAATATTAAACTAGCACATACTATTCTTTTCTTTCTTTCTTTCATTCTTTTTTTTTTTATTTGTTGGTTTATATCTTTCGTAAGTAATATCCTCTCTCAACGAATCCTTATGTACAAAAAACTTATTTAATATACAGAATACACTTGCACTCATACGTACGTCACCGCCGCCATCATCGTAGGGGCGTCCAATAAATTAAATTTTTATTCTCTAAATTATTATTATTATTATTATTAATATTATTATTATTATTATTACTATTATTATTATTATTGTTATCATTATATTATCTTATCTTATAATATTATTAATTAATTATCCTAACATTATTATCCTTAACGTTAACATTATTTTTCTTCTTCTTCTTCTTCTTCTTATTATTATTATTAATAATAATATTATATTCCTTATTATACACTTTCCCCTTTCCCGAACTTTAGAAAGGTTCATCTACAATTACAAAAAAGTACGATGTCCTCGATTTCTACTACTTGAGCAGTAGTAGTAGTAGTAGTAGTGAGTATGAACAAATCGGCGAGTGTGCGTTAAATAGCTACAATTCGAAGTATTTTATTTGTTATATCATCGAATATACGAATAATCGACGATTAATTACAAATTACAATCAACATTCGCAATGTACTATACATCGGTATAAAAAGAAATCATATACATATGTCAGCGTTAAATTGTATAATTCAGTTAAATCGTGATCACTGTAGTTATTTCATGGTTTTAAGAATTTTCATGAATTTACGAATTTTACGCTTTAACACTAACATATATGTATATATATATATATATGAAAAAAAGTTCAAAACGTTTAGACGTTTTATAGATAAAATTCGAGACATCGTACGAGACGGTGAAGCATTTTTAACTTCCACATTTATCACCCTTCCTATTCCGTACTCTTACACGTACACACCTGCATATCAACGCAACGGAAAATCGTCTCTCTCGTAGACTCATTAACTTCCCTCTTTAACTCTGCCCCCCCCCCGATTCCCACCCATGATTTGCTCTACATAACATACAATATATATATTCATATAATATATATAATATTCAATAATATTTATATGTATATATATATATATATTTTTTTTTTTTAATTATTTATTTATTTATTTATACTTAAGATATACATATTTTTTGTTTTGTTTTTTTATATATATATACACTGATGTTTAAATGTCTCTCCGTTTCAATAATATTTATGAATCAGTAACACTAGGTTTTTGCTAAATAACATTCTTGGACCTCATTTGTATATAGCCAGCACCTTACGTTGTTGAACCTTCAGCTCGAACGGAAGAGTTATCCATCCCTTCGATTATATTTAAAAAAATATAGTCTCTACCCCATTCTTCCTATCCTCTCTCTTCTCTTTCTTCTTTTCCTCCTCTTCCTCCTCCCTGAGCTCGCTCCGCTAAATGTTTATTTTTTCTTTTTTTTAAACGGACACATTCTCTAATTATTTAAAGGAAATTTGTCCCCTTTCGTCCCCTCTCTATTTTAATTTCTTTCTCTCTTTCAAACTTACGCGCCCCTTTCGCTCTCTCTCCCTCTCTCTCTCTCTCTCTCTCTCTCTCTCTCTCTCTCTCTCTCTCTNCTCTCTCTCTCTCTCTCTCTCTCTCTCTCTCTCTCTCTCTCTCTCTCTCTCTCTCTCTGTGTCTTTCTACTTTTCAAGTCTCTTCACAGCCCTCATTTCGTTTCGCATTAAAACTTTTCAGGTTTTATTTAAACGTAACCTCACCACGTCACATATAACAATTTTCTAGATAACATATATAATCATCTAATATATAATAAATAATTTATCTCTTTTATCCCCGATATACAATTTTCGCATATACTTCTACTCTCTCTCTCTCTCTCTTTCTCTCTCTCTCTCTATCTCTCTATCTATCTTTCTTTTATTTTTTTTCTTTCTTGTTGTATAATTCTTAAGTAATTCTTCCACAATGATTTATCTATCTTTTATCTTTGTTTGTTTATTCATTCTCAATTAATAACGACTGCCATATGTAAATATAAGAACTAAATTTTGTACAAATTTGTAAAAGAGTCTAAGAATACACTCGTAAGTGCATTATATGCATATACGATTTATGTCTGTACGTACGTATGCATATATATTTCGTATATACGTGAGCTTAAGATTTCTATACGTGTGGACGTTAATTAATTAGATTCGATTATTATTTAATAATATTTTGCCCCCTTATTTTTCTTTTTATCTTTCTTTCACTTCAAACTATTTCCCCTTCGCATAATCTATATATCGTAATCCAACAAACATACGCGCACGCATACACGCATACATACGTGGACGCAAGTAATAATGATCACGCACTCACACAGCCAAGAACAATGTATGATTTTTCATTTTTATATTTTTTTTTCTTAACAAAGGAGAAAGACCAAAAGGAGGACGATAGACGATACGATTAGAGAGAACTGTATATATATATATATATATCGTGCAACGATTACGTCGAATTATTTAGATATTTAGATAGTTTTAATTTTTTTTTTTTGTGTGTGAAAACATCATCAACATCGTGTTATTCGATTATTCTCTCGTAAAAGTTTCAACCGTATAAAAGGGGATAGAAGAGAAACGTATGGGAGTTAGAGAGGGCGAGCTCTTGATATTTGACAATTTTTATATAGGGTGTCCGGCGGCAGGTCGTCGATGGGACGTCTCAACATAAATAATCATTGGTACTCCATGGAGGACAATGATATATCTTAAGAAAAATGAAGTTTTCAAGGTAGCGGTAATTTCCTCCTCCTCCTCTTCTTTTTCTTCTTCTCCTTCTTCTTCTTCTTCTTCTTCTTATCCTTCTTCTTCTTCTTCCTCCTTCTCTTCCTCTTCCTCTTCCTCTTCCTCTTCCTCCTCCTCCTCTTCGTCGTATTCGTTTAACATACTCATTTCTCGAGAAACAGCAACGAGACCTATCTCACGCGCCCGTACAGTCGATCTCTATTATATCCTTGGGTACGTCGACGAATTGATATACCAATCTCTGTCCGTCGACCTTCGCCAAAATGCCACGTTGATAATAGTATCTCAAGGCGCGACCCATCGTCTCGTAATTCATGTCAGGCTTGTTCTTATGCAAACCCCAGAGTCTCGATACGGCTTTACTATCGACCAATTTAAATACTCCTCTCTCGCGATTCGTCCATTTAATGTATCGCGGACAATATTCACGGTCCTGTAACAATTTCAATAAAAATTCCCAAAGATATGTCGTAGAACCTTCCCGCGATTTCCTTTTAACCGTAGCACCCTCCCCTTGACGTGGTTTCTTCAATTTGTTTTTCTTCGAACGTGGCGGAAAACCAAGTTCCAAAAGATAAAGATCGTCCGATACCGAACTCGTCGCTGCTTGGATTACGCTCGTTGGTACACCACCAGGTCCTCTCGGTGGGCTCGGTGTACAAGGTGTCGCGAATTGTCCTCCATTACCGTACATCGAGTTTACGTAACTGCTATAACTCTCGGATACTGTAACGAGAAAAGATAACACGTTAGTATGATCATTCGTTCCAAGAAAATTATCAAATTCAAAATACAATATAATAATAATACACATCGCGTTAAAAAAATAAATCGCGCGTACGTTCGAAATTCAAAAAACTTTCCCCGCTGATAAACGGATAGTTACGCAATAGCGCACCTAGATAGCGCCACCTGATTCAAAAATTCAAATTTCCAAATAATATTCTCTCTCTTATATTATCTCACGATACAAAGCCCTTTTTTAATCAATCAAATTTTATACGCCGCGTTTTCGAATAATTTGAAATATTCAATAAATATCGTAACTTTCTTTTTTTTGTTTTGTGACTTTTCAAGAACCAATCGTATCTTTCAGTAATTACGATAAAACGTAAATAATCATGCAGGATTAGGATCCAATTTTGATTTAACGTTACCGCGGGTTCATTTATAAATGTTCAAATCTTATCATTGGTTGAATTACAAAATTTGAAGAAAACAAAAACAAGGCATTCATAGAATAGAGAGAGAGCGAGAGTTTTCGCGCCACGACTTTGGATATATGGTCGCGGTTGAACGTGCAACGAGAAACACACTATTAATAGCCCTTCTCCACGGACACGATCGTCGCCGACGGCGACGGCGGTGTCCTGCCGTCGTTTTCTGTCGCCGGATGATCGATGTTTCGAGAACGCGTTGGCCGGGCTCGATAACGGAGCCCCTTTTTCCTGTTTACTCCCCCATCGATCTCCCCGCGTCCTCTCTCTCTCTCTCACTCTCTCTCACTCTCTCTCTCTCTCTCTTTTTCTCTCTCTGTGCATGTTTCTCTCGTTCTTTTTCTCTCTCTCTCTCTCTCTTTCTCTTTCTATCATTCTGTCTGTTGGTCCGTCTTTTTCCTGACAATGATTGTCCATCTCTTTTTAACAAAACGACGAGAACAAACCGACTATTCTGGTTGAACCAGGAGGAGAAGGAGGAAGAGGAGAAAAGGGAAGAGATGGGATGGGGTTGGGAAGGGAAAGGAAGGGAAAAGGAGGGAATGTAGAAGGAACGCGGATGAAAGGGGAAAGAGGAAAAGGAAAGAGGAACGAGGAGTCGAATTCACGATCCGTAGACGACGGAAACATCGTTTATGGCCGCGTGCCGGTTCGATCCCGGTGTCAGGGTGTTGTTGCTTGTCTCTTCCTTCGGTGCATCCGTACTCTTACGATACGAGTTACTCTTTCTCTCTCTTTTTCTTTCTCTCGTTGTACGATTTGTCTCTTTTAAGAGAAAGAAAAGAATATAAATATATATCGTGTGTATGAAAAATAGAGAGAGAGAGAGAGAGAGAGAGGGATAGAGGGAGGCGTGGCGTACAGAAACGTACATATGAATAAAAAAAAAAAAGGAGAACACAAGCATGCAATAAGAAAAATAATTGATTTCATTTTTCAACTTCTATATAATCTCGACTTTGAAACGTTCGAACGATTGATAATACTTGCTAATGTGAAATAACATTACGAACGTCGAACGACACAACAACGACAACGACGGCTAACTGTATTACTCATCTCTCTCTCTCTCTCTCTCTTTCTCTTTCTCTCTCTTTATATTTAGTACATGACAAGCAAGGTTACCCTGCGAATAGGAAACGTTTTATACATACGCCACTGACCGCGTGTGGTCAGTGCCTTTACATGTACATAAGCGTGGTAGGTAGGTATGTGTATAGAGCATTGCAAAATGAAGGAGAGAATAAGAAGAAGAAGAAGAAGAAGTTAGAGAAACGGATAAGAACCCGAGAGAGAGAGAAAGAGAGTGAGAGTGAGGAGGTGAAGAGAAAAAGGAATAATAAGAGAGAAAGAAGAGAAGAGGAGAGGAGAGAACGAGAAAGAGAGCGGATTCTGCCTGCAGTAGTATGATAGAGGACTGACCCGAGCCAAGGTTGCACGGGTGACGCCATCAAGCCGCTACTAGTGCATAATAGCGCCGCGACTGCGCTAAAATCGGAACTCTGCGCTTTCACCTCTCCTCTTCTACTCCTCCCTTTCTACCACCCGTTCCTCCTCCTCCTCCTCCTCCTCCTCTACCTCTTCCTCCTCATCGTCATTCTCAGAGTCTCCTCTAACACTCCTCCCAACCCCTATTCCACCGTTTTCTCTCGTTCCTCGTCCACATTTTCGTTCCTTCGTTCTTTACTTTACCCCCTATTCCACTATACTTCTTCCTAACCGTCTCAATCTCATTGCAGTTCCTTGGGGGGGACTCTAGTTAGAGCTTTCGATGTTCCTTGGGGATTTTATTCGCGAAACCTTCCTGACTTCCTCTAGCCTCTTTTGTAAAAATGAAAGAGACAAAATTGGTAGGAGAAATAGAGAGAAAGAAATTGGGGAAGTAAAAGGGTAAAAAAAAAAAAAAAAAAGGATGAACGGAGGGAAATATACAAAGATAGAGAGAACAAAATATAGGGGGAGATTTGGATTTTCGTGGTCGTGGCTCTAAAAATAAAGAGAGAGAACTGTTCTCTCGAGCTATGTGTACACACACATACACATACGCATACACATATATGTACGCGTATACTATTGTGTATGTATATAAAAGAGAAAGAAAGAAAGAAAGAGAAAGAATGGCTGTGCGAACGAGATAGAAAAAGAATGACGAAGAGAGGGAATGAGAATGAGAATGAGAAAGACAGAGAGAGATAGAGAGAAAGAGATAGAACAGCTGAAGCGGACCGTGTTTACGCGCGGTATGACTGGCTAGATGAGTCAATCTCGTAGACCCGTTGTCTAGGAGGTCTCAAGTGGGGGAAATACTACTTCACTGACCTATACCACAGAGAGGCGACGTAAAGAGAAAGAAAGAGAGAGAAAAATGGATGAAGAGGAACGCAGAAGGAATGTCGCGACCTTACTTTTTTTTGAAGGTAAATGTACGCTACTAATGAGTTTATAACAGCATACTATTTCTAATAATTAAAAACATATATATATATATATATATATATAGATGTGTATGCTATAATGGATTGAATTATTTGAAATCCGTCTATAAAGTTTACTCGATCATTTATACGACAGCCACCATATTTTCGGGATTGGTTACTGGTTTTAATTGTAAGAGAACAAGACAAGTTGATCGGTTTAAAAGCACGGGGAATTGAAGCAAAACGAAAGAGAGGAAGATGATTTTAAGCGCGTGTGCGTGCGTGCATGCGTGCGTGCGTGCGTGCGTGGATCGAGTAAAGAAGGGAATGTGTTATAGATGATGTGGGATGGAAAGCATATCGATGGTGTCTGTAGTAGCAAGTGAGGAAGAGTAGAAGTAAGAAGAAGAAGAAATAAGAAGAAAAAAAAGGAAGAAGGAGGAAGAGGAAGAAGAAGAAGAAGACGAAGAGGAGGACGAGGAGGAGGAAGAGAAGGTGGGGGAGGGGCGGGAGAAGAACAGCCGAAAGTATTCGACGACGGTATAAACAAAGCGATCATGGATCACGAATCCCTCGAGCTGGTGTAGTCTCGAGGCGTGCAACATATAGCGGTGCATACACCAGTGGAGGAGGAAAAGGAAGAGTGGGAAGAGAGGAGGAGATGGAGGGAAGTAGGATAAAGATGGGCCACGGCGGTGTGCGTCGATGCAAGGGGGGAGGGAGCAGGGTGGTAGGGTGCAAGCGGGAGAGATGCAACGGTGTTGGTTTGGTATTGGTTTGGTGTTGGTGGTGGTGGCGGTGGCGGTGGAGGAGGAAGAAGAAGAAGAAGAAGAAGAGGTGGAGGAGGAGGAAGAGGAGGAGGTCGAGAGAAGGGGAGAGTTGACCTTCAGCTGCGCCGGGAAAGTCAGGCAGTCACTGACCGACAGACTAACTTAACTGCTCTATCCTTCTCCTCCTTCTCTCTTCTCTCCACCTCCATTCGCGAGCGGCTAGTCCGATGCACCGTGCTACCATCACGCATAAGTATATATATATACACACACACATATTATATATACGTATCATATGTATGTACATATATATATGTATAGAGTAGAGAAGAGAACACACGATGAAGGAACTTGGTGTTCACGGACGCCGACGACGCGACAAGACGTTCCTCCTCACCCCTTTTTCTCTTCTTTTCTACCTCCTCCTCCTTCTTTTTCTTCTTCTTCTTCGTCTTCTTCTTCTTCTTCTTCTTTCCCCTCAACTCTCCTTACTATATCTCGTCGTCAACGTCCTCATGTCTTCGTCGTCTTCGTTCTCTGCCGATGCGCTCTCTTCTCCCTCTTTCTTCTTCATCTTTTTATTTTCTTTTTACTGCCTTTTACCTACACCCTTCCTTACCCTCCACCCCGCTCCTCTTTCTATCTTTCTCATTCTCTCTCTTGCTCTCTCTTTCTATCTTTATTTATTTATTTCTTTCTTTCTTTCATTTTAGGCCTAAAGTAGCCCTTCCTCTTTTGCTCCTCCCTTCCTACTTATTCTCTCTCTCTTTCTCTCTTAGCCTATTATGTTACCCCACTGCCTTGAGCTACTATCTTTAACCCCCCAAAACTCGTTGAAAATCGTCAGCTCTCTTTACACTCGAGTGTGAATACTTTTCTTTCTTTCTTTCTTTCTTTCTCTCTTCTCTTCTCTTATTTTTTATTTTTCGAAATAAAAAGAGAAAGAAACTTATCCGGAAAAGAAGGAAGAAAATTGGCAGATCTCCATGTCGCGATATACAAGCATACGTATCCTACGTACGACGAAAATGAAAATTGGCGAGGAAACTTGCTCAGGCCTATCTGTTTTCATCGTATTAAATGTTATTCGCGGTTACTGACGAGGAGAGAATAAAAAAAAAAAAAGAAAGACAGAAAAAGTTAAATAAAAAGAAACAACGAAAAAAAAAAAGAAGAAATAGAGAGAGAAAGAGAGAGAGAGAGAGAGAGATAATCACGTTCCAGACTACAGGCGTGGTTTTTCTTCTACGCGACTACCTTGACTCGTAATAAAGCGTACAAAAGACAGACTTTATACTCCCCCTACCTTACCCCGATCGTCG